GTAAAAGTAAAAGTACACCATTTTTAAACTACTCAAAAAAGTACAATTACTGATAAAAACTACTTAATGACTGTAACGTGAGTATTTGTAATTCGTTACTTCACACCCCTGATGCTAATTAACGTAAAAAATATGTATACACAATTTTTGCTTTTTTTTTTTTACAAACTGAGGGAAAAGTCGAAAATTATTTTCTGTGGAAGTCAACAGAGCTTAAACTGGCTTAAATATATTTGCAAAATTGTCAAAGCAGTGCCAGTCACTTCAGGGTACAGGCTTGAGTCTATTCTTTCATATCCTGATCTCAATAGAAATGCCCTACTTTTCTCCACTTCTTCTGTTGATACAAGGACTTACAAATAAAGTTTTGCATTAGTGAAGGCGGTGGTCTGTGCAGAATGTCTATGTGTCTTTACATTAGCATGTGTGTCTGTTTGTGATGGCCATTACTAATGCAGAGTTTAAGCCACCTCTGACCCCAGATTATGTATGAGTCACTTAACATCAGTGTGACAAATGCTAAACATCTGTAAAGAGGTAAGGAAGCACACACGCATTAGTACAAGTGAAATGCAGCACTTCTCTGCTGTGACTCAGATATTATCTCCATTCACTATGTATTATTTTCCTTTCATTAAAATAATCACCTTAATATTCCAGAAACATTTCCTTCAGGCAAAGCGGTGTTTTGGCAGCCAACCCAACCATTTTAGGCAAAAGTTTCTAACATCACAGATATCCATGAATGATGCTTCCCAAAGCAGACTGAGTTATCGCAAGTCTTTATGATCAAACATTTCAGCAAGCATTTGTGGATTAAGGCCTGAAAAATGATCTAAACCTCTTTTTAATGTACTCTTTGTGATGTTTCTTTACTCAAGTAAGTAATGCGGCATGTGTGTGTGGTTTTACATCCCAACGAACAACCCTTCACTCTGACCATTTCACTGCTGTAAATCACTTCAAGAGAGAAGAGCTAATTATTTCCCGCTGTCCCAACAACACACATACTAATACACACCCATGCACTTACACACAATCGGTTTCGGCTAGTCTTATTGTCGAGGCACTGCAAGCCAGGCAGACTGACCTGAGACTGTAATCACAACACAGGAACACAGTAATCTCTAATTACAACTCACAACCATAGGAAACCCTTTCACACATCAGTGACCACACAACAGCAGAAGAGTGCAGATATTTTACAATAGAGGTTTGCTTACTGCAATTTATCCTTTTCCCTACAAAATAAATTAAATACATTAGGCTATTGTATATATGAATTATGAAAAGAAAACAATAATGTTTCGACAGTAAATACACTAAAATGTCAATTAAAAAATTTGTATATTATTAGTACATTGCTTAAAATATGAATATTTAATACTTACTTTCAGAAAAAGCGGAAAGTAATACAAAGCTTTTCTTTGCATATTATACATGTACAATAGCCTAATTTATTTATGTATTTACATTATTTTATTTTTTATTTAAAAGACAAATAATTCAATTTTTTAAAATTCATCTAAAGACGTTCTTTGTGGGTCCCCAAGGGACAATTGAGGATTTTTATGGTTAAAGGATTACAAGATATCTTTATAGGTCATGTCACAACATCGGTGAGCAAATTGTCTTCTCTAATCAATTGGCCATTTGCACCCAGTGTGTGCTTTATTTTCAGACAAACGTAGCATCCTTTTGTTTGTTTTGACCAGTACATACACCATATGCCATTTATATCTGCTAAAGTTTGAGAGAAAAATTGATTGTACATAAGTACTTGAAACTTAAGTCACACAAAAATGCATAAAAGTCACTGCATTAGACACACAATTTGAAACCAAGTGGCAAAACAAGTCACAATTTTAAGTGGCTTATTTGTCCAAATTCTGTTTGGGGCCACTGTAGCCGTCATGCATTTAATTTAGAGTACTGTATATGGGCTCTTTGTAATTCCATTGAACATTTGGCTATCATTCACATGATACAGATCCAGCTTTCACCATCTGTAATTAATAACTTGACAGTGGAATTGCGGTGGTGAGGGCAATTCTGACTTTCCTTGCTGAAGTCTGCACAATGTGGTTTAAAAATTGGCTCCAGAGTGTCCAGCTCCCTGCGCTCCCTTTGCAACTGGAATCTTGGACAGAAATAACATTTAATCTGGGATGTGGATGTGGATGGAGACATTTTACTGTTGATTTATGGCGCTTTATATTAATAGCAGGATGATAGTTTAATCCGGTGCTTCTGAACTATAGGGGGCTGTGCCTCAAAAATGGCCCGCAGGGCTGTTCTAATAGTCGCACATATAGCAGGGATGTTAAAATATAAAAAGCTACTAACCATATAATTGTGTATCAAGATAGGATAACAAAATAATAGGCTTCCTGATCCTGATCACCCTGTTGGGGTTCATTTTATGATAACTTGTAAATTATTTTGAACTTGTCCATTTTAAACAGGAAAAAAACTTTCCCACACGAGGAAGATTGAAGACTGACTGAACGCATGGTTCAGGAAACCTCTTTAAAGAAAAAAAAAATTGCAATTCAATTTGACGGCACAGAAATAGCATCAAAAAATAATTTTGATGTCTTTTTGAATTAAACTAATCTAATCTATCTGTATATTGTTGGTTAACAGTTAACATAAAAGACATAGGAAGTAGAAAAAATAATAATTATATATATATTAACATTGTTTAACATTCTTTTGAACTTCATTTATCAAATAATCCCTGGGGGGGAAATACATTGGTTCCACAAAAATAGGCATAACTGTTTTCAGCTTTGATAATAATAAGACATTTTTTGAGCATATCTGAAAGATTTCTGAAGGATCATGTGACATTGAACACTGGAGTAAACTATCCATTATATTTCTTTTTTTTTTTTCATTTCCCCTGCTGAGCTGTGTTGCAATTTTAGGTAAATGACGTACTATAAATTCTGCATGCATTGATGGATCTAAAGGGGCTTCAATAAGGAGAATGTGACTCTGGAGCTCTGGCACTGTTTCCATAGACTGCTGCTGCTCACTGTGCAGGCAGAGTCAGACTAAGAGGTCTGGAATATCTGTTCAGTGACTTAAAGAGAGAGAGAGAGAAAGAGAGAGCGAGAGAGAGAAAGAGGAGAGGAGGGGGGCTCAAGAGGAGAGGAGTGTAATAGGAAACCAGTCTACCCTTCTCTCTCTCAATCTTCTCAACCTCTCTCCTTCCCTGTCCCGCAGTCAGCCGGTTGGAATAACACCTCGCTTCACTCTCGCTGGGGAAGTCCACGCAACACTACGTCTGAGACTACAGCACTCACCCACTCCCTGCTCAGTGAGGACAGCACGGCTGGGAAGCCTCAGAAGGTGAGTCCCGTTAGGGGCAGATGGGCTCCTGTGTGGACCGAACGGGACAGATTTAAGGGAGGGGGGACTCCAGGCTCAGGCTAACAGGTGCAGACGCCCACCAGAGACAGGAAATCATAAGACCTCATGCTTCAGCCACTGAGAGAAGAGTCTATAGATGCTTATTTCAGAAACGGACAGTCATATATATAGTTTTTTCTGATCTATGTTAATATGACTCCTACTCGTTCGTACTATTTATACGCACTTTCATGAGATCGGGTTGGTCTAGCTGGTGAATGACAGGGTGTGGTATGGTGATGGGCATTAAAATAAAAAAAATAGCTGAACAAAGGTCAATGTGAGTTGCAAGTAAGCAAGTGGACAAATTTCACTGGACGGATGATAAAATTGACAAACAAAATCTCACTAACTTATATTAAAGAAGAGACCTGAAACATATACAAAGACCTGAATATCACAGAGACTAGCAAACACACTAGCAACCACATAGCAATGCTCTGGCAACCACCAAGAACACCTTCATGGCAGTTTTGCACAGTAGCACTAGAAATCTAGCAACATTCATACTGTATAATGGAGTTTCCATAGCATTGTTTTAGAACATTACAAAAGACACTTAATTTCGTTCCATCTGTTTAACCTGGTTCAGATGAGCCTGTTCTTAGTTGAAGTTGGCTGTTATATTTCTAGTGAGCAATAACTGGTTTTGACTGACACTTTCATAAGGAGAAAGATGGAAAACTCATTACGCAGATAGCCATGACAAACACAAGATGATAAGCTTGAAGATCAACCGCTCGTAATACGTTTCCAGGCTGCTGTGCTCCAAGCTGAAGTGGTATGAATGCGCATTAAGACAGCTTTGATAAACGTTTGAGTTTCTCAGATGACACTGTGATCCAGTTTGGATCGTGTTGTGGTTAAAAGCCAGTCAGAAATCCCCTCATGACCGAATTCATTAAGAATCTGGAAATGTCAGTGAAATAGTTTTAAAACAATTCAGCCAGATATCATAGACTTTACATTTCCTCCAGAAATGCTAACCTAAAGTTTAATAGGACTAGGCATGATACAATAAAGGAAAACAATTCTGTAAATCTGATTTATTTATATATTTTAGCTAGTTAGTTAGTTAGTACTAACCAGCCGCAATGTAACAAACTTTTCAACAAAAATCTTACCTATAACTGAAATGATTAACAATAAATAATAGTCCATTACAACATATTATTTATTTTCTATCATTTTTAAATATGGCATTTTAGTATAGAAAATTATTAATATTTATATGATTAATATTTTATTATCAATATTAATTATATTATTATTATTATTAATATGCAATTAAGTTCATTTCTCAGTGAACTAATTCTCAATTAAGCATAAAGGTAATACTAAAATGCTCCAAGGCCAATCGGTAGTTAACCGTTTCAAGTCGTAAGATTTTGGCAAGTAGTTATTCTAATTTGTGTTGGTAAGAAAAAAAACAGAGAGACATAAAGAGACATACTGTCGCAGTCTGCAGCGGGTGTGCCCAGGAGGGCCACCAGATGACTGTGTTCTGTGAGCACATGGCTTGTGTTGTGTTTGTCTGTCGCCATGTGCTCTCTCCTGTCTATTGTCTTGCCCCTCCCATCTTGTTACCTCGTTATAGTTTTAGTTGATCCACCTGTGTGCCCTGCCGGCCGCACCCTGGCCTCCTGCCCTGCCGGTCCCGCCCTGGAACCCTGGGTTACCTCTATCCCCAGGGCCTCTTCCACTACACGGGCCTGGCCCACCATCCCTCCCCCTGATCCACCTCCGTTCCGCCTCCCTCCGGGGTTGCTCCTGGTGGAGCGTCTGGAATCCGCTCCTTAAGGGTGGGGTTCTGTCGCAGTCTGCAGCGGGTGTGCCCAGGAGGGCCACCAGATGACTGTTCTGTGAGCACATGGCTTGTGTTGTGTTTGTCTGTCGCCATGTGCTCTCTCCTGTCTATTGTCTTGCCCCGCCCATCTTGTTACCTCGTTATAGTTTAAGTTGATCCACCTGTGTCTCCCTCGTTAGCCTCCTCGTTTGGTTCCCATTTATTCTCCTTGTGTCTGTCATCCTGTGCTGATCCGTCATTTCTCATTGTGTGTGTTTCGTGTCTGCATGTGTGCAGCTTTAGGCCTGCCTGTCTGTTTTTCCCCTTCGGGGTGGTTTGTTTTTTTTTCATTTTTGTTATCAAAATAAATAACCATTTCTCCTGCAATTGAGTCCTCGCTTCATCTCCCCGCACGCACCGTGACACATACAAGTAGCACCGGAGAATTTACTGTTTAGCTGTCATTATAGTATTTGATCATTGAATGCTGCAACTGACCAATCAGAATCAGCGGCATTTCAGAGAGCCGTATAAAACGTTGTTAGGTTTATATTAAGGTCCTGATGGAGCTTGGTCATTAGACACATAATTAATGAGGGATTATGTCTCATTTAAGTGTTCATCAGCTCATGCTCAGTGTCGGCCCATGATGGATCTATGATGGCCCATGATGACTTTAGCAGCTGTATATATATCTGCCAGGCCCTGGCCAGCAGTAGAAAGCCATTACTGTCTAGAGAGCGGTAGCCTCCACCCAGCTTCTGGAGCTTCTCTCAAATACCAAAGTCATTTCAGCTCACTGCAGTTTATCATATGCTCAAACACATGCACATGTATACACATACGCACCCTTGTAAATATGCACCACCAACTCATATAAAACAACATTGAGACTTATTTCTTCTCCACCCTCACAAGCACACAGGCAAACACACTCTCACTTATAAATAGGGATATGCCGGTATCAAATTTTCATGTTGCGATTAATTGCTAATGCTTTTATCACGGTATACGGTATTATCACGATACTGGAATTTAGTTTTTAAAAAAGTGCTGACATAAAGTATAACAGGTTTAATAACTTTTTCTTATAACAAAAATAACTGAACATTTAAATGCAATAAAGCAATACAGAAAAATGTACAAAGTTAAAAGTTTTACACAGATTAAAGTGCAAAAGAACTATAAAGACCAATAGGTATCACTTTATAAACATATTCTACACAAGCATATAATTTCATGCAGTCCTGTTGTACATACGTCCTTGCAGTAATGTGGCGGTACATTAGTACTGAAGGGGTCAATGGAGATGGAGTGAACAAGACCTGTGATATGCACCATCCAACATCTTTAACTTTTACTAATTTAGTCATCAAAATTCTCTTCATATTGTTGATTGTCTAATTATAAACATATTCTACACAAGCATATAATTTCATGCAGTCCTGTTGTACATATGTCCTTGCAGTAATGTGGCGGTACATTAGTACTGAAGGGGTCAATGGAGATGGAGTGAACAAGACCTGTGATATGCACCATCCAACATCTTTAACTTTTACTAATTTAGTCATCAAAATTCTCTTCATATTGTTGATCTAAAAGAAAAAATCTAACCGTAACTCTTGAATATTAACCTGAAATGGCATCCTAAAAATGTGGTACTCATGGCGTGAGATGCAGAAAAACCAATGAAATGGGTCAAAGATCTTCCATATAGAGGATGATTACATTCTAAACAACTTAAAAAGTGCATTCTGGGCGAACAGCACCCTAAGTGGTGTTTTCTTGTATTCCTGCATTGCTGCTCACTGTGAACGCACCCTGTGCAGTGTGCTCATACCTCAGTCAGACATGCACTGTAGATGTCTTGTACAAAGTTGCTATCAATCTTTCACACGATTCATGTATAAGACATGAGCATTGAGACTGTGCTATTCTTACTCTGTTCTTTGTCCTTCTGCACTCTCTCTGCTACAAAACAAACATATTATTAATATATATATATGAACCGCATGTATTCTTATTTTCCAAGAGTGCACTGGTCCGAAAAGGCTGTCTGTTCTCCCTGGAGCACAAAGCAAGAGTTCTTCCAGAGGAAATCAAACTTCTCCCCATGTATTATTTCCATTTCCACATGTTTCCATTCCTTATTTTGTTAGAAATAAAAGCATCCATTTCTTTGAGCTACTCCTACACAGACATTGCTTTTATACTGTACAAGTCTTCCTCATGTAAAGGTAAAATATTGACTCCGGCTGGACAGGAGCCATTGTTTATACAGCATTTGCTGATATCAACGTCATGACACTTTCTCAGCACTAATTAATTAAAAGACATGCAGGAGGCCTTTAAGGAAAAAGCTTTCATGGATAGCAAAGCATGACTGTTATAAGTGTTAAAATATGTATTTTAACTGGCTGCTTTTGATACACTGTTGATTTAGCACTATATCAAAGCCGGTTCTTCTCACAGAAAGTGGCTAATGTTTCAAATGTCATGATGTCATTTCGAATTGTTCCTTAGTTTGTAAAAATGCATGTGCTGTAAGGCATTTAGAATGGAAGTCTATGGGGCAAGACACTGAAGTTAAATGAAGCTGTTATGTTCATTTTATTCGCACAGAAATATGCATTACTTGAGGCTGTACAAATTGTACATATTTTTACAGCTACTTTACAAGTCAAATTAACTTACCACAATAATTCTTATGATTTGCCAGGTGCGTCACATCTCTTTACATGATTACAAGTTAAAATTGAGAAAAAAAGTGGCATAACTCTGCACATGTAGGCTTAGTAGTCTTATATTAACGTGTTAAGTCGTGCAACTGTACATTTGAAACAATGTGAATTTTACTGTTTACCTAGGTGTAATGCCTTGCCCCTTAGTCTTAAGTTGTATGAGAATTATTGTAAAATCTGTATATTACTGATTTTTAATTTTTAATTTTTTACATGTGGTAATCCACAGCGTTACAGACACAATGCAATTTTTTTCCAAGTAGAAATATCTAAACATTTTTGAAACAAGATTTCATACTTTTCATGAACTGTATCTTGAATATAATTGTATTTTGTCTTACTTCACTCACAGAATTTTCCCCTCGTCTTATACTAAAAATACATTCTTTGAAAATAATCTTAATATCTTTTGTAATGTTGCTTCAAAAATTTTAGGTAATATACAGTATATATATATATATATATATATATATGTATATATATATATATGTGACCCTGGACCACAAAACCAGTCTTAAGTGTCAATTTT